AACACAATTTAATGGGTTTAGCTTCCTACATAAAGGAGTTATATCGCAAAAACTGGTATCTGAACAATCAGTGGTATAGGATATAAAGCTTATACAGCATAAATTTTAATGATTTTCTCAGTAGACTTTGTATTATTATTTATAAAATAGTTTACGAAATTTATCGGTTTTAGCTGTTCAGATAAAGGAGTTATACAGTAAAACCCCATATCTGAACAATCAGTTGTATGGAGGCTTTAGGTTATAGCGACCAAATCTTCACCATTTTCACTGTAAGTATTCTGTTGAAATTGCGTGCAAGTATTGCAAAATTTCATGTTCCTAGTTGCATAAATGGAGAAGTTATAACGAAAAATCTCATATCTGAACAATCACTTGTATGGGGGCTATATGTTATAGAGGTCCGATTCTTCCGCTTCCGACAAATGATTAATACAATATAAAAATACACCCATTTACAAAATGTCATTCGGATATCTCGAAAACTGAGGGACTCAAGTTCTGAACGTTTCTTAACCAAACAAGTAAGAAAGTCTAAGTTCGGGCGGAGCCGAACATTAAATACCCGGCGCAAGTATTTAATATATGACTTTCACCTTTCCGAAAGCTACCGCTAGATGGAAAGCCGGGGTGTATTAGTTTTGAGTGTATTAGCGTCCTTAAATTTCGAAATATTGCAGTTTCAAGCATTTCTGAAATCTACCGTTATATGAAAAGCGGCCGTAATTTTAGTCCGATTTCAATAATTTTCAGCGTTTGGCTTCTATGTGGCAAGCACAATAACCACACCGAGTTTGGTACAAATTGGTAGAACGGTTATCGATATACTTATATGTGATCATAAGTGGGCGGTGCCACGCCAATTTTCCAAAATTTTATCACAAACATATTTCTTGCTTTGGATAAAAACGTATTTTTTTATTCAACATATAATTTTTAGCAAAAAAAGACCGACTTAAAAAATATATTTATATATATCATGATATAATGATCGGATCTAAACCAGATTAGTATGGGACCACCTCTTAGACACTACCTTTCCTATGCAAAAGAATTATCGAAATTGGTTGACGTGGTCCAAAGTTATGGGGTAACATATATACAAAAAAAAATAGAAGATATTCCGACGAACTGATAACCTCCTCCTTTTTGGAAGTCGGTTAAAAAAAAATTTTGCAAATAAAAATGCTGATGTTTTAATTTTTTTTATTTTCCGAATTTTCCGAAATTTAAAACATCAGTGTTTTTATAAAAAACCGACTAGCGCGACCTCCATTTTTTTTTTCAAAATAAAAAAAATACGCGTCTATGTTGTCCCACAAATAACAATATTTTGATGTAGCGTTTATGAGTTTCCAAAATGAGTTCTTTTTTAACCACTCTAATATATATATATATATACATTTTCTACAGACTAGATTCTCGAAGGTAGCGTTTGAGTTTTCTGGGCTTGGGATACATTTAATATTTTAGTGTTTTCTAAGAATGTTTTTTGCATTTTGAATCAACCTTTTTCTTTATTTCTTTTCTCCAATAACATAGCTATTTGCCCCGACCTTTAGTATTGTCCGCAAATGTTTACAGCGTGAAGAATAATACAGTTACTAAGTGACTTTTACATGGCGTTAAAATGTCTGTACTGAACATTCATCCACTTCACACTTCCATTCGAACAATTGGCCGTGTAAACGTTGCAAACGATCGACTTTGGTGATGCAATTGGATCGTGTATACTTTGCATTATGTCGACTTTGGCGCCTTCTCGCGGTTTTCGCTGGCAATTAAGTTGCCAAAAAGCACAGGGCGATTCATATTAGGAATAAACGTAGAGGAAAAAATTTCGGAGGAAAATTTAACTTGATTTCGGGTTTCGATACGAGTACTTTTTCTTCGATGCCTACTCAGTATTTGGTTCAAAAGTATCGATGGTATCGAACGAAAAGTAGGGAGTATGTACTTGTATTTACTCGTATCGTTTCATCCATAGTTTGAGCATTTATAACATTAAACAGAGTTTCCACCTGTGTTAAAATTTAAACTCAAATTATTGAATAAGTCAAATGAGTAAGTATAAATTGACATGGGTTAAACACGTTTTTTTTCGGAACTTTATTTAACAGAGTTGCCATATGTTTTAGTAATTAAATTCACTTGACTTAAGGGAATTAGTTACACAATTTAAATATGTATGTTGATATGTGTGTCAGTCGAAAAAGATTTAACAAGGTCTTGGTTTTAAAATATTTTGAATAGGGTTGCCACCTAGTTAAATGAAATATTAAAATATGACGTGAAACGAAGCTGGTAAGATATCCTTAGTTTTAATATTTAGAACATTAAAGAGGCTTGCCACCTGTTTAAAAAGGAAAACTCAAATTATTTAATAAGTTAAAGCGATTATTAAACATATTGGTATCAAATGAAATGGGTTTAAAAAGGCTTTATTTCTGAACGATATTTAGGAGCGCGGTCACGTATTTAAAAAACTTAATTTAACTTAATTCATCAGGCTCATATTTATTTAGGTGTCACAATATCTGACGGTAGAGATTTGTTTATTTCTTAACTATATTTAGGAGAGTTGCCAGCTGTTTCAGAATTCTTAACTAACTTATGCACAAATCCGAAGATAATGCGAAGACGAGCAGAAAACGAAGAAGAATACTAAAACGGGGGACCTGGGCAGATATAAAAAGTAACACAAATTTCTGTGGTATGAAAAGAAATAAAAATGAATCGAAGCAGTGAAACACGTCGTGGCACATAATCCACGTTTCGAAGAATATGCTCACGAGGTAGCTGCAGTAGATATAGATTCTGATGAAAACATACTTGATTTGTCAACTTCGCTTACTGAGGCCAATCGTGGCGAAAAATATTGTGGTCAAGGAAGGAACGACAAAGCCATATGGTGGTCAATGCCAAGCCAAACTGAAAAACGGCGAACAGAACTGGCGTTGGAAATGCGCAGACAATCGACGTCAACCTGCACGGAAAGTTTCGACTCAAAAAGAGATGCCTTCATACGCGTTTTCCCAGTGTCACTTGTTGAATGTATTGCACTTGACGCAAATTGGAAAGCTAAAAATGTAATTCACGCAAATATGCGTCAAACAGTACCAAAAAAAAATAAGATATTGGCAAGACACCGATGCAGCTTCCGCCAATACATTCCCTCCAAGCCTGGAAAATATGGCATACAAATAGTTTGGCTTGTTGGCGCAACTTCCAATTATCCACTTGCAGGCGAAGTATATTTGGGTTCACAGCCTAATGTACAAAGGTCAACTGGAATTGCACGCAATTTCGTAATGCGACTCAGCGATCGATATTTGGATAAGGGTGGTGTGAATATCACGATGGACATCTTTTTCAGAAGCTATGACTTGGCGGAGGAATTGCTTGTACGGAATACTACCATGGTGCAAGAATGATAGAATACAAGATTGCGCCAATCGAGCTGAGAGCAACTGGCCGTGACGTCAATAAATACCAGAATGAGAGAGCAAGACGAACTCGACAAGAAAAAGAGGAAGCATCGAACAAAAGGCAGTGTTGCAAAATTTTGAATTTGAAAAAGCACCAAATTTTTATTGGTGTATTTTATAGACTTTATATGCATACATAAGTTTATCGTAAGGATGCCGAATCAAATTAATAAAAATCAATGGTTCTTGCACAACGGTCGATTTCTTCTGACATGATTGAAGGTGCTGCGCATATTTCGTTGTCGCTTTTGATTGTCACTGTGCCATGATTTTGTTAAAATATTTGTGAAGTTGCTTACCACACTTACGGTTGCTATGAATTTTGCTTCCGTTTTTTTTTTAAGATTTTCTAATTTGGTGTCTTCAAACTAAAAACAAAAGCACCAAAAACGCGCCAAGCACCAAACTCAAAAATTTTCGCGTTTTGAATACCCACTAAATTTGGTGCGAAAAGCATGAAGTTGGCAACAGGGAATGTAAACAAAAGTATTTAATGACGTCAGCGATTAGGTGGATGCTGTCAAATCGACGAAGAGAGGGTTAGCGGTCCGCGAATGGCGCGACCTTTATTTTCTGGATCGTGACCATGGTGGGCACAATAAGAGGCAATATTTAAGCCGCAAGTGCCAAAACTTTTTACATCTTCTGAAGAAGCAAAGAAAAAGGGTGTGTTTGAATCAGTGTTTTGCTTTTCTAAATCTATGCAATTAGTAAGCTTTACAACTGCTTTCAACTGCCAATTTCAGCGAAGGTGTGAATCCTGTAACAAAAAAACCACAAGTCATACATGACTATAATAAGCATAAAGATGGTGTTGATACTTTTGACAAAATGCTGCGTAGATTCACTGGTAAAATAAACACAAACCGCTGGCCCATGGCATTATTTTATTTATTTTTGATTTTTTATTTATTTTCACGTTCACGTTTAAAACGTTCTTTTCCTTCGGCAGATCAGCACTTTGAAACGGCGGTGTGAAACATGCAAAGCTTCTAAAACCGACAACAAAACTACAGCGGTTTGTGAACACTGCCTTACTACGACATGCACCAAACACTATATAGGAACATGTAAAAAGTGCTATTTCGAAAAATACAATGCTGATGCTGATACGGACTGAGATATTGATGAAGATGCGGACAATACTCCAACAATGTCGACACCATATTATTTATATGATTTTTATGTTTTTTCTATAAAAAAAAACCTTTGTTTCTAACAATAAAAAAAAGTTCATTAAACTATGTGCATAAGTAAGCGAAATATTGGATTTTTTAGAAAAAAAAAATTCTTAGAAAGCTTAAATTTCCATATGAAATGCATTACTGGGCACTGAGTACCCAAGTCACGAGATTAAGTTGTATAGCTACATATGTCACGGTACTAAGGTTAAGAAGCCTTTATCGGCAATCTAACGATGTAAATCTACGAATCTAAGGCTACATGTTGGCCAACCCCTATGAATATTTATATAAGTATTTGCTGCATTATTTATTGTTCTTTATTGAAATTTTACAAACTGTTTACATTGCTTTCAATCCATGATTTCTCAGCGAAAGCGTCTGTGTATACCGCTGGATTGGCACTGTTGGAACATGCATTACCCCAGGAAAGCAAACCAACCAACTGATTGTTTGAAACCAATGGCACTCCTTCAATAGCGTTGCAAGCTTGGTTATCAGCAAGACCACATACATTTGAGTCAAAAACGTCATCATCGTCGTAGCCATATTTGCCAGAAACGCAATCGGCACGGGCTATGACGGTTTCAGGTACATCTACCAAAGTATTACTGTCATCCCAGCCAGTGACAATGCCGGCGGAACTGGTAACCGGTTTCTTGCTGGGCAATTTAACGTACTCAGCACTTACGGATTCTGCTAACTTCAAGAGGGCCACATCATGTTCATTTGTGTAGAAGCCATAGTCAGGATGGGAAAGATGTGCCACAATTTTTACGGTCTTAGTGTCATTGTTTACACCTGCTACCAAATTTTCAGGAGTGAGGAAAACCAAACACGAGGCAACGGTAATAACGGTAACATCATTGTATAAAGCACCACCACAGACGATGGATCCACCTGAGTCCTTCACCGATACGACGTATGACCGTTCGCCACTGGGTGCTGCTACACCACCTTGAATTCCGGAGTGAGTGGTAAATTGAGCATAGGTACTTGTGGCTGCGATCAACAGCAATAGACAGCAAACGAACTGGTTGGCCATTTTGACTGATTGTTGTATGGGATGTGCTTAATGCGAAAACTTAAACTAAGTAGAGTTTCGGCTGCTTATATACCGTTACCGACCCCTATAATTCGATTAGAGCTACATATGTATGTATATGTTTACTTAGCTAACACGGGGTGAATTATGAAACACCTGAGAAAACAATAATCACGAAAAATATTGATTTAAAGCAGCGGTTCCCAAACTTTTTTTCTCGTAGACCCTTTTTCAGAATTTTTCTGGTTTCGGGGGACTCCCTGCTGCTACATTTCTAACATATTTTCAAAGCTCATCAAAAATGTGATGACTAGATCTCTAACGATGTAGATTTGCATCGCTGGTGAGTTCCAAAACTACATCTGGAGTGGTAAAAATAAAAAAAAAATATCTTCTTGTGTTCTATTTATTAAAAACATGTGATATCTAGGACAATCCAAAATATGCTTCTAAAAACTTATTTTAAACGCTTAAAATATGCCAATAAATTTTAAATATAAGCTTCACAAGATGCTTTTGAAATCATTATAAGCCATAAGATATGCGTTTAAATTTCGTTTATGTACGTATGTGCATACCCAAAGATACCTTCAACCTTATTTGCAGCACCTAAACTGCTATAAATTTCATAGAAGTGTATATCTATATCTATACTCCAAGGCATAACAAGGTAGAAGTGATTTCGACATTTCTCTCTTTTGAACTGCGACTGAAATGTCAACTCTTAACCCTATACTATTCAACAATTTTTTTTTTATAACGGGTGATTTTTTTGAGGTTAGGATTTTCATGCATTAGTATTTGACAGATCACGTGGGATTTCAGACATGGTGTCAAAGAGAAAGATGCTCAGTATGCTTTGACATTTCATCATGAATAGACTTACTAACGAGCAACGCTTGCAAATCATTGAATTTTATTACCAAAATCAGTGTTCGGTTCGAAATGTGTTTCGCGCTTTACGTCCGATTTATGGTCTACATAATCGACCAAGTGAGCAAACAATTAATGCGATTGTGACCAAGTTTCGCACTCAGTTTACTTTATTGGACATTGAACCAACCACACGAATGCGTACAGTGCGTACAGAAGAGAATATTGCGTCTGTTTCTGAGAGTGTTGCTGAAGACCGTGAAATGTCGATTCGTCGCCGTTCGCAGCAATTGGGTTTGTGTTATTCGACCACATGGAAGATTTTACGCAAAGATCTTGGTGTAAAACCGTATAAAATACAGCTCGTGCAAGAACTGAAGCCGAACGATCTGCCACAACGTCGAATTTTCAGTGAATGGGCCCTAGAAAAGTTGGCAGAAAATCCGCTTTTTTATCGACAAATTTTGTTCAGCGATGAGGCTCATTTCTGGTTGAATGGCTTCGTAAATAAGCAAAATTGCCGCATTTGGAGTGAAGAGCAACCAGAAGCCGTTCAAGAACTGCCCATGCATCCCGAAAAATGCACTGTTTGGTGTGGTTTGTACGCTGGTGGAATCATTGGACCGTATTTTTTCAAAGATGCTGTTGGACGCAACGTTACGGTGAATGGCGATCGCTATCGTTCGATGCTAACAAACTTTTTGTTGCCAAAAATGGAAGAACTGAACTTGGTTGACATGTGGTTTCAACAAGATGGCGCTACATGCCACACAGCTCGCGATTCTATGGCCATTTTGAGGGAAAACTTCGGAGAACAATTCATCTCAAGAAATGGACCGGTAAGTTGGCCACCAAGATCATGCGATTTGACGCCTTTAGACTATTTTTTGTGGGGCTACGTCAAGTCTAAAGTCTACAGAAATAAGCCAGCAACTATTCCAGCTTTGGAAGACAACATTTCCGAAGAAATTCGGGCTATTCCGGCCGAAATGCTCGAAAAAGTTGCCCAAAATTGGACTTTCCGAATGGACCACCTAAGACGCAGCCGCGGTCAACATTTAAATGAAATTATCTTCAAAAAGTAAATGTCATGGACCAATCTAACGTTTCAAATAAAGAACCGATGAGATTTTGCAAATTTTATGCGTTTTTTTTTTAAAAAAAAGTTATCAAGCTCTTAAAAAATCACCCGTTATAAATTTTCAATTGTGAGCTATGCGACTGATTTTAAATACATAATAAAATGAAAAGGAATTGTGAGCGGTGCGTTGTGTTTGTCAAGAGCCTGGACAACAAACTTGTGCGTTATTTTAAACCTTCGAATTGTCAAGTGACGCGACAACGGTGGGCAAATTGCTGCGATGTTTCATTAGGAGACTCTTCACGTGTGGTCGTGACTTTATTTGTTGCCTATCGCAGCCGAGTATTTCTAAGTGGACCCAGGTGCTGGGTTTATCATAGCGAATATGAAAAGAAAATCTCCCTTTCATATACATACATGGATAGGCCAAATTTCAAATAGTGGTCTGATAAAACCTAAACCAGTATTCCTTGTTGATATAAAGAAACTGAAAGTAATTTTTAATAAATTTAATGGAAAGGAAATTTCGAATAGCAAAAATTTAATAGCTAAATTATTGAAGTTAAGTTCTGATTAAAATTTAGAAGAATCAAACTTTTATTATTGTCTAATATACTTTAGAATTAAGTATTTGAATACAAAAAGAAATGCTCAAAAACATTGGAATAGTAAAAGTAGAAAATTGTCAAAACGGCTTTATAAATGAGTGTGTTTCATTTAGTGTGTAATTTTGTGTAAGTATGCATTTCCACATTTACATTAAACCGAAAATTCAATAAGCTGATTCTACTGAGATTTTAAATATTTTCATATTTACAAAAACTTTCATTTCAAAGATGTTGAGTCCTATCAAATATGGTAAATGCATAACAAAGGCTTAATTTTTTTGTTTACATTTTTTGACATTACAGTCAGGTATGAGAGAGTTCGACTGAATTGTCACTTGTACCTTGTTGAATATGCCATGCTATACTCTATACTATTATATAAAATTGATTATATGGAAATTGTTTGTCACGACTTATTTCTCAAAGTTTTAAACTGATTTTAATAATAATTTTTTTAAAACCAAGCATTTGTAAAAAGAAACAGAGTGGCATACTTATATTTTCTTCTTCGAAGATAAACACAATATTTTTGGGTGTAAACTTACCAAAAAATACAAATACGTAAAAGCATATGCCTATTCGGTCGCCAAATACAGCGCATAGCTACGCGAAAATTCTATACGTCAGTGCCGATCAAACACGAGCTCCTAACACACATAAAGGTATTTGAGCTAAACAGCGATCACTGATTGAACTTGCTAAATGCATACCACGATTGAGAGAATACAAAGGTTGCGCCGATCTCGGAACGCTATTCCTCTCTTAACGAATTTGACAGCATCGTTGTTTGCATGACGTCACACTTGTGCAACTTGTTTACGTTTCTATCATTCTATCATTCTTGAATACATACATGGATGTACATATTTACACATTTATAAACTAAAGGCAAAACATCGCTTCCCACTCATGTGACACAAAAATTTCAACATACATGTACATTTATGTATGTACTTGGGTAATTTCCAAACAAAGCGTACATGGCAAGTATTTGTTAATTATATATTTTTTTAAGATTGGTAAATTTATCCTCTGAAACCGTTTATCGACGTAAAAATTTGTGCAGAATAAGAAACTGCTTTCAGGCTCTTCAAAGATTTATTTTTTTGTTATTTTTGAATGTTTGTAAAATATTTTCCAGAATGTTACTATTTTAAAAGTAAGTTAAAGGATTAAATAAGTTTCGAAACTGTTAGAAAAAAGTATACTAACCGATAAGCATTGTACTGATTTTTTAAATTAAATGCCTGCTTGGGATCAACTTGTCAAATAACGTTAAATTGCAGGCATCTAACCCTAATTTATTTTTCATGCAAATATAATAGGTTCGAGTATTTTTTATGAAGTGTGAAGTAAAGTGTTTTGTGATATAATATTACTTTTCACTTTGTAAATTTGGTGTAAGGTCTAATCAAAGGATTGCATTTACTATAAAAAAAAACACAAGATGTAAAGTTATACCTTGGATTTCTTAATGTAATATATACATATAAATACTTATTTCTTGCTTACAATGTTGGTAAAATGAAGGATGTAATTAAGTAACTTAACAACTTATTCAGAATTTCGATTGTAATAATTTAAATTGCAAATTAAAATTTGCGCTTTCCTTTTGCAAATCTTTCTATTATCCTTTCAGTGTCAATTTCAATATCTAAGTGTACGTGTAAAAGTACTAGGCCTATCAGTCTTTCTTCATTCATGGTACTACGCAGCCATGTTTTTAACCGGCAAAGGGTTGAAAAACTTCCTTCGGAAATAGCGTTACTAGCTGGAAGTGTGACGAGAATGCGGAGAAGTTTATTAATAATTGGAAAAGCATATTTGTCGCATTTACCAAGAACTTCTGCTGCTGATTTTGGGAATGGCTTTTCGCTTTATAGTCTCATTCCAAATTGGTACCGTCTTTTTCTAAGAAAAGTTCGTATCGTTTTCCAAGCGATTTTACGCGTTCGATAGCATTATTTTTTTCGTCAGGTGTATTATATTCCCCAATTTTAGATGGAAGTAATAAGTTCAAATCAAAAATGTTTAATATCTCTTTCGGCAATCTTTCCCGGAGATCTCGCAAAATATTATCCTATAGCGGTATAAATATTGCTTTTCGATAATAGTCCTCACAGTTGAAAGTGAAATTTCCTAGATACGTGCACCGCGGAAATAGACAAAAAGTAGTATCAGAAAGCTCGATTTGACATGCATACATACATTATTAAAGCCCAGTTCTGAATACTCACAGAGAGTTTGTTCTCCGGGAATTGGTTTCTCCCGAGAAAGAAATCCTCCAATAATTAATTCCCAAGAACTAGCATTTCCCCCGAAAATTTGGGAGGAGAAAATTCAAACTTCGCAAGACCTGTTTGTTACTTTTTGACAGCTGAAATCCGCCATTTGATATAAAAAATCCGCAGGGAATTTTATTTATGATAGGAGGAAAG